TGATCGATGGCAATAAAATGGACAAAATGATCTTCATAGAAGATCTACATGGCAATAAAATTGACTTCCTATTCTACAGCGGTTAAATTTTAATTGAATATAATTTTTACTAAAATTATAAAAGATTTAGACTTGTACTTTGAACTGAACCTGATCTGAAATTTTTAAATTTATAATTTGCTAGCTTAGACTTAGCTTAGTACCAGCCCAGAATTTTGGCAAAAATCATTATTTCGTTAAAATTTAGCTGCCATTGATTTTATAATAAAATATTTTATTAATTTGTTTGTAAACAGTAGTACTCTTCATTAATCTTTTTTGTTTATTTATAATTAAAAATTTGTTAAAATGATTAAATTGTTAAATTTCACATTGCTAATAATTATAATTAAGTTTATGCTGGGCCAGGCTGACATTATAATACACGAATTTAACCCCAGGCAGGGTCGGGCAGCATTTTAATTCTTGGCTTAAAGTCTGGGTTTCAAAATTTAGACTTAGGCGACCTATAAATAAGCAAAAAAATTTAAATTAAATAAATTAAAATTTAATAATTAAGCCACAAAATTTAATAAATAAAATGCTATGAAATAATTTTTATTAAATGTATAAAATAAATAAGTTATTTTAATTCAATTAAAGTTTAATTGACAAGTTACGAATTTCAAAAAAAAAAAAAAAAAAAAAAAAAAAAAAAAAAATTTGCGTTTTGTAATTGGTTAAAATAGATTTTTTATAAGTTGTCTGAAGTTGGAATTCAGATAACAAAAAGCGTGTCTGAAATTGGAATTCCAATTTCAGTTAACTGAACTTGGAATCTCAATTCAGACGAAAATCAATTTCAGTCACAACAGATATATGACGATTTAATGTGTCAACTAGAAATTAATAAGAAGATGATCTCGCGCTTTTTTATTAGAACCCTTATCAAAAAATTATAAAAATAATGATGATGATGCTTTTTAAAAACATGTTTGCCTATATCAGACATAATTGTTAGGTTTTTAATATTGAGTTTTTTTAAATAACTCTGATTCTATTTACTCACTTTGGTCAGATGTTTGATCAGTTCTTTGTTATGATCTTATTATAATTATTTTATTTAATCCAAAATTTATTTTATTAAGAGTAATTGTATTACAGTGAATAAATAAATTGATGTTTTCATTGAATTAGAAAGAAATGTGTGTTATTATTCTTTTATCAAGATCGAAATACTCAGCAGATGTTATTTAACTTTTAAAGTGATTGCGTATTTTATGAGTAATATATTTGTCCATTGTGACCGAATAATAATTTATTTACATTTACCAATCATCACATTTTCTTTAGAGAATTTATAAATGATGACATATTCCATATTAAACTAAGGACCGGCTAACAACGGAATTCAGATCATAAAAACGATCTCAAAAGAAATCAAAATGTACTTCAACCTACGAGATTCAACTTTTCTAACAATACTGACGACCGTAAATTGTTAAACAATCTTCATTTATCTATGTTGGCTATGAATAACACCAAATCTAAGCGCAAAATATTATTCTACAAACACTTTATCCTTTTGAACGGATACCGCACGTGGTGCATCTAAATTGACACCACGTGATCGATTGATGATGCTAACACGTGTAATTTGTTTGTACCTGTTTTTCTGCTTTTCTTTTTTTTTCATGATGATAATCAATTGCGCGTAGGATTGTAGTATGGGGAAATATACAAAGTAAATTTATTTTACAGTAATCGTCAAGCACTTTGGGTTGCTTTGTGATCACCTAGACTACTGTATGTCATAAAGGTTATTTCTCCGAACGTTCACTTAAGATATTAGTGCAAAGATGGTTCTTTCTAAGAACACAATGAATCTTCAAACAATTTATTATATCACCTAAGATATACCGCAAGGGTGATCTTTATGGATCAACCGCCTGAGGAAACTGTTAGCAAAGATGTTAGTTCTGTGAACGCAATAGAAATCTAATTTGAATAAGGCCTACTAGTTCTGGAAAATGAATCAGCTATGCATCTTCCTTATTACACATTAATAAAATATTACTACTTAATTAACACCGTCATTAACAATATTATTTTTATATATTAAGGACGAAGAGGATCAAAAAATCAATTACTAGTAAAATTCAATGCAAAGGAAAAATGGAGTTCTTTAAATATGATTATTTACTTTCATCTTATAAAGTTTAATCTTGGTAACTTTATGAACGATCTGATGGATGTATTGTGATATTTCATACTATCTGAACTAACGATTTCATATTCTTCGATTTAAATTTACACGGCCATCATAGCTGGATCGATAATCAGGCGTTGTCCTATTCAAAAGTCCAGGATTAAACCCCGGAAGACTTTTAAGATCCGGCGATGTACTAATATCTAAGCACGATAACGTCGCTGACATTCTTTCTAACCTAGGCTTGCTGAATTTGCATTGAAAGCCACCTTAAGCAAAGATGAAAGGGAGATATTACGTAAGATATCAAACAAGCGGAAACCAGGGAATAAAATGATAGTCCACTGGTATCCCGGAAACCACCTTCAAGTGATCACAGAAATTTTCGTAATTTTACCAATAACATTGGGATTCTTCAAGCGGTCCTAAGTGTTCCTAAAGTCCCAAGAAAATTACAAAGAATTATTTTTACAATTTATTATTAAGCTTGTTATAATGTTTTAATGAGCTATTTAATAAAAATAAATAATAAACCCTCTTGGAATACCAGAAATTCTTAAAGATTTAGGACCGGTCCCATACTTAGCGATTCCAAAAAAATTGCCAATTTTGAATATTAAAGACATTTTTTTGATGGGTTACTTAATATAGATAAATGATTAAATTTCTCTAGAGTTAGTAATCTCTTAAATCGTAAGTACCGGTTAAGGACCACTTAACATCCCTAGTCTTCTTTAAGTTCCACCGTAATTTGAGAATTCCATTCCTTTTCTTTGTGCGTCGGGTGAAATTCGCATCTCATAATTAGGGAACCGAAAAGTCCGGGATTAATCCATGGTTTAATTCTTTAAATTACACCAGGCACCCCTATTTAATTACGAGTTATTGGGCTTTATTGCATATTAATATTTCAAAACAATATTTATTGATTAGTCAGTACATGGCTTAATTAAAGACAATTGATAATTGCAAAAACTAACTTTAAATTATATGTAGGATTCTTCAAATGGTTTATTTTCCATGATACAATGCAAATAAAATTTTACCATGAGATTCAGTAGGGTTAGATTTATAGCACGATTTATTTCAAACTTAGCAAATTATTTAGTAATCAATTAAATAATACAAACAAAAAGACATCCATTATTAGAAATTCAGGATTCTGAGACATTTTTAGTCTAAAATATCAAGTCCAAATGAAATTCTTAATATATGGAGTGTTAAAATTTCGAAACAAAGAGGATATTGTTGTATTCAGTTCTTTCGTTTATGTATTTATAAACAATTTTGTAATGTAAGCAGAAGGTATTAATGAATAATAATTAATTAAAAATGAACTAATTGTAGTAATTGTGACAAATATTTATTTAATAATATCAAATTATTAAGACTACGCAAATTATGAAACTATTAAATAAACAACGAATTATAAAATACTAATAAATCGGAAATTAAAAATAAAATAATAAACGAAGTTACATATGCGAATTTATAAAGTTAAAACGGCGAAAATCGAAATTATCGCGAAGGTGTAAAAGGAGGATTGCGAAGAGAATATATTCAAAGAAATATATTAAAGGAGCATGGGATATTGAGCTGTTTTAGGATTTCCAGCTCAATATATATAAAAAAATATTAATTAAGCCAGCCTGGCATCTTGAACATTTGTCATACTGACATCTTGACAGCCTAGCGCCTGACAACCTGGCATCTTGAACATTGTCATACTGGCACCTTGACACCTGGCTCCTTGACATCCTGGCACCGTGACAGCCTGGCAAATGATCGTTAAAAAGGCTAACTGTAATTATCAAAAACGATTTACATGCAAAGTTATGAATATTTCGGCCGGAATTACATTCAATCGTAACAATATAAAGAAAGATTAAAAAAAAGAGAGATTTTGTTTTAGAAGAATTGTAACAATAATATTACTTGTCATTTATCAAGTTCATGTACAGCATATTTATAGTGTGGAAAGGAATATAAATAGTTAGAATAGAATTATAAAAAAAAACGGACAACGCATTAGAAGGAAAGTGAGGGATACTAACCTCAATAACAAATCAGCATGGGTTGAATTAAATTAACTTCATATAATTTTTTAGGGCGATGTATAAATATAAATTGGTGTCATGTTTAAGTAATTTAAGAATTGTAACTCATATTATATCTATTTATTCTGAAAGTGAAGAAACTGTAGATGCATTAAATCAAGATAAATCTTGCTTAAATTTTTATTCCGTAGTAGGGGGGGAAAATAAAGACCTTTTTTTGCAGACTTTTATGAAATTCAAAGTGAACTTTATTCTTAATAAAAGCTTTTATTAACTAATTATAATCATCTTGCAAGACACAGGTTTTAATTATTAGTAAATATTTGAGGGACTTGTTTATTCGTCACGATTTGGTTTGTGACAAATAAGCACCAGCCAATCCACTAATTTACCTTAGTATCTGAAATTCAACATCCAATAAATTTCCAGAAATTTCCGTAAAAAAAAAAAATTGTTTTAACTATATATAGTTACAAGCCATATCCCTACTTAATCTATGAAAAAAAAAATTGATTTTTATGATTCTAGTATATGGAAAGTTTTCTATTAATCATGAATCATTAGATTTCTAAATATAAATTAAAATTACTATAAAAATATATTTGGTAAATGATAAAATTTATTTATTCATAAAGTACAAATATGATCTAAAAGCATGTATTTACAATTATGTTCTGAATCGCTCAATCGGTAATTACAATATGACTGACCAACTGGTAGGTACGATGCAAATTTATTGACAGGAAATTCGATCATTTAATCGATTATCACAAACTAATAATGGATAACGGGATAACCGGATATTCAGATATTTGTAACTTGGGTAAAAAATTACACTTTTATTAGATAATACTAATTTTCGAGTCATCATCAAAATTTACCGTCACGTATCATACAATCCTAGACATTGTAATTATAAACTAAAAAATAATAATAATAATAATGGACAATTTCAAAATTCACATATTCTGAAAAGCAATTCACACGTTTTATGATAAAAAAAATTGTGCCACCATACTCGGAACACTAATCCGTTTAATTTATTTAATTTATTTAAAAGTTAGTAATGAGATTTTTTAGTATTCGAAACATAAACATATTTTTTATTGTCTTACCCTAAATACAGTATATATTTAAACAAAATAATTAAAAAGAAATTCCATATTCATTACATAATTTCTTAGCTTTAGGATGAGCTGCCAAAGCAGCACTTCTTAAATATTCGGCACCTAGTGCCTTATCTTGTACAATACCATTGATACCATTCCAATAAGCTTTTCCAACGATAAACATGGCCGCTAC